AAAAAAAAATCATCAAAAAAACCACTTAATTTGTTTATAACTATTAATTGCACGCACTTACATAAAAAATACCACCGGATTCGGATTTCTCATACCCGAAAACATAAGAAAACACCTCAAAACCTGACCGCACTAGAAGTGCACACGGGAAGGGGGTATTGCGTGTGGACTAAAGGCCCAGGGAGAGACCCAGAGAGGGAAAAACGAAAGTGTGATGCTGAATTTCAATCGAATAATCCATTAACAAAATCTTCACCCATTAAAACGTCTGAATAATTTTTTATTGTACTAAATGGCAAATTATTATTCTCATCAGTACTCCTAAGAATAAAAAAAAAGTTGACAAAAAAAATGAAGAAAAAAAAATTTGTTTCCGCTTGAATTGCGTCAAACAATCGTTTTTTGACTATTTCATTTTCCCCTACTGTTTCATTTTTCTCCGCTGTTTCATTTTGCCCCACTGTCTCCTACCCAATAGCATCGTAGTAGGCTCCCGCCGATATTTACTGCGATGATTTTAGCGACATTATGTGCGATAGTTGGAGCACCATTATGTACGATAATTTGAGCAATGATCATTGCAGCCATGAACCGATAATTTTATCAACATTAAGAGCGATGTTAACTATCATATCAAGTCCCATTGACAACTGCGTCATCGTCTCCAATCATAACGGTAGTCAATCGCAATGTAATTGGCTGAAGCATTGAAAAATTCTAATGTTCATCATTTAAAAGTCTATTATCAGAATTTAGTAATTTTTGTTCCATTGGATTCCCGATTTTCTATTCTATATCTGCCTGCAATTTGTAAACAAGGGGCTGACGTCACCCTGTATAATAAATTAATTATCACCTTTGAGTCGATTCTATAATCCTTTAAAAAAATTAATGATTTTATAGGAAATTCAAGAGATATTTTTCGTAACTCCAGATATTTTCTGTAGAAAAAAAAATCTCCTGATGTTTTATCTAGAAATTGCAATATAAGAATAATTTAATCCTATTTTACTAAAGATGAAAGAAACGTGACGTTGTGGTTTTATATCGAAATATCTCGAAAATGCCTGACCGCTAATCCTCAATTTTGATTGGTCAATGAGTCACGTGAAGTAGTCGCTGAAAAAAATCCCCAGTATCTTCTAATTCTTCAAATGGCAAAATTTTTTTCTGCGTCATATTTTTCATTTTTTCATGTGTGACATTTATCTTTATATCAAAAAACATATCCAAATTGCCTAATTGTTGATCATGAGAAAAAAACATAGTATTTCTAAATTGTTTTAACACAAATTATTCTTCACTTCCCAAATTTTAATTTTTTCATATTTATCATACGCACAAATGATCAATTCTTGGTTCTCAGATTTTCATACATAAATTCTAAACTCTACAAAATTCATGAAAATTCTTCGATTTCCCAAATAATTCGAGAAAAATCTTTGAAGAGCTACAGTTATCTGGAAAACTGGAATTTTCCGAAGAATTCAAGAAATTTTTCAGTTTTTTGAGAAATTAATTCATAACCCTCCCCTCATTTTTCAACAATTACAGATTTTAATTAGATTATTTTAAAAAGTAAAAAAAAGAATTCATCGAAAATTAGAAATTATTCATTGATGTTTCACTCTTCATTCTCTTCATTCTCTTAATTCTCTCTAAGTCATCAATATTTATAAAACATCTATGAGTATATGAAGTTTAATAAATTCGATTTCTTCATTTCCACAACAAAAAGATAAGCGCGCGCACAGATCTAGATCCATGTTATTGAATACTAGTATTCAATAACACAAAATGTAAACAAGTAACTAGTTCATGTTAGCTTTCATCCCTCCAATGAAAAAAATAATAATTACTCTATTCCAAGGTCCACTTCTGGTATTCCCGACAGCATCTGATTTGACAACATCTCCTCACTCCTGTGGGCAGAACTCTGTCTCAGATGCTCGGGAACTGCCTGGAGAGCAGCCTCCTCAGGTGAACAGTAATTCCTTCCCCCAGACTGCCCACTCGAAGGATCATTACTCGACGTATTTTTTCTTTTCGATAGTTCCTCCTCAATGTATTTCACCCTAAACAGAATGACGGGGTTTTTAATAAAATTTTTTGAATGATTATGAACTGTCCAAAGCGTTGGAAATTCTTCCTGCCATCTGGATTGGAAATGTCACTCACATTTCTTCATCCTCATCACGCTTGTTCGTTTCCGCGTTGAACTGTGTGCCTATGCCAGTATCATAGGCATCATCTTGCTTGAATTTTGCATTCTTGAGGGCTTTCATGTTGACCATACCCCCGGATTTAGTATTGAAAGGATCTGAAGACTGAAAATGCAAACAAGGGTTCATTTATAAGAATGATAACTCGAGAGCGTTAAGGATATCCGAGGGTGAATGGACCAGTGATCAAAGCCGTTCAGTGCCCGAACTAATTTATATATGGGAGAGTGGGGCAAAATGAAACATGGGGGAAAATGAGAGAGTCGAAAAATGACTGTTTGACGCAATTCAAGCAAAAAAATTTTTTTTATTTACTTTTTTTTCATTCGTGAGAGCACTAATGAGAATAATATTTTTTCACTCAGTGGAATGAAAAATTATTGAGAAGTTGTGATGACGATTTTGTCAATGGATTAAATCAAAACAGGGGGAAACTCAGAGGGGGAAAAAGGAAAATGTGGTGGTGAATTTCAATCGAATGAACAAGGAAAAGTGTTATCGGCCTAATCTAATCCATGGAATTATAATTAATTGAATTATAAAGCGAGCAGAAAACTATTATTCTGATCAGTACTCCCAATAATAAAAAAAGTTGATGAAAAAAAAATTTAACGCCCACGTGTACTATCTTTCGAATGTTATCTGGAATTTTTTTATCTTTCGTAATCCAAAATTATCAATTGAGTGGTACATCATGTAGAAATTCCCAAAATTTATGATAGAATGGTAAAAAGAAAAATGGAAAAAATTCTGAACTTTTTCAAAGAGTGTTTTTAATTGAGATTCAGAATGAGTTGAAAAAAGTGGAAATTACAAATATCTGATTCACTGTGGCAAATTATCTATTAGCTGTCATTTTCCATGGTGGATAACAAAACACTGACTCCTCATGGGAAGGGACAGCTAGGCATCTCAATTTTCAAAACAGTGGTATGTCATCTGCCATTTTTATGCGATAAAAGTGTGATTAAAAAACTTTTTCAAAGAGCCTTTTCCGTAATAAATGTCTGTGTGCAGTGTGGGAAATGATTTACGAAATCACTCTTCCCCCTGGATGATATTGGGTTACAGGCCGCCATTTGTCACCGTAAATCCGATACATTTTTCAATTTCTTGTTATTCAACTTATTTTGAATATAAATTAAAAATGCTCTTTGAAAAAATTAAGAATTTCTTCTCTTTTTTTTTTTATTATTCATTCATAATTTTTCAAAACTTCTGCATGATGCAGGACTCAACTGACAATTTCGGATGACGAAACATGAAAAAAAACATCGAGATAACGTTCGAAAGATAGTACACCCGGGCCTTAACAAAAGAAATTTGTTTGTTTGAATTGCATCAAACAGTCATTTTTAGACTGTTCCATTTTGCTCCACTCTCCCCTATTTATGCTAAAATAAATGCGGAAGGCAATGGAATGAAACGTTTGTCTTCTTCAAAAGCGAATATAATGTTCTAAAATTCAATGAGAACCTGTGAAACATGCCTATATTCAAGTTATTATTTAGTCTTGTACATTCGATCACTAGTGTTTGACTGAACAGATTTTCGATATTGAATTTTAAAAATCTTTCTCCCGAAATTAGGTAGAGTAACTAGCCCTGTCCCAATAGCCGAACTTTTTTGCATATTCAACGTATTTCTTAATTTCTGGAATTTATTATTTGGCACCACATTTTGGCAGTTTCTTCAGACAAACAAATTGCCACATCTCATTCGAAGCATGAACTTATTGCATGCTCTAAAGTCAAAAAATTGTTAGATCCTGAAATTATTGTTCATCGCAATGATTTCATTATTGAAATTGAAAGATATCTCTTGCGATTTTTTCTTGATATAATTTATCGTCAGGATTCGTACACATACGTTTCATCACTTTCATTGATGAATAAATTTTCCACTTACATTAGCTACTTCTGCAGTTCCTTGTTCACCAAGGGCTAGGCCGATGATATTAACCCCATTTGGACGTTGTCTCAATTTCTGAATAGTTTTCATCTCCTCCACTTTATTCCTAGTAAAAATAGCATTGTTTTTTTTGGAAAAGTATTCTATTAGTAGTAATGGAGTGTGAAGGGTATGACAGAAGGGCGGGAGGATGGGGGGGGGGGGGNGGGGGGGAGAACGGTATGGAAATTTCGGAAAATTACAGGTTTGAGAACTTTAGATCTTGAATTCGTCCCCGAAATTTAAAAAAGCAGATAAAAACCGTTTTTAGGAGAATATGCAATAGTCATTTTTAGAATTTGATATGGGCTCTTCGGGAACATACAATTGTGTACCAAAAAATCGGAGAAAAACTTGAAACTTTGTAAACTATCATTTTTCGCTTCTGCATGGGAGTTGATTTTATTCGAGTTATACAAGAAATTTTATAAGAAATCCAACACAATTGATTGAAAAAGAAATATAGGAAATATAGGTCATTTGAACAAAATAATATAAAACGATAAATGAAATACGGCAGAAAAAAATGATGTACAAAATGACACGCAGGAAAAAATTTAATAGAACAACCTAGCGAATTCGTAAGACAATTCTATTGAATTTCTATTGAACTTTCTATGAGTTTTTGACCGATTCTATTGAAATGTTCAATAAAAAATATTCTACAGAAAAAGTCAATAGAATTCGATTTTTCTATACAACTTATTCTATTGAGGAATGTTCTATAGAATTTCCTCGGCTCAAGTTATCTAAGTCTTTTCATTCTATTTTTATTTTCCGTCCATCAAGAAAATCAACCAAAAAAACTTGGAAATTTTGAGGAAATTCTATAGAAAATATCGAAATAGAAACACAGAAAAGTCAAATTCCATTTACTTTTTCTACAGATATCTTCTAGAGGAGGCTGGGGTAAAACGGATACATTTGACTTTTTTAAAAATGTTAATGAGAGATTGAAATGTTGATGAAATTTAATTTTTTTTTTTCAATACAAAGAACAATTCTTTCCCTTTGTGACGAGCATAACTGAACTGAACTGAATTGATAAATTTATTTCCGAGTTATGCACAATTTTAAAAAAGTCTAAAGTGTCCATTTTATCCCACCCTCCCCTATTCAGAACTTCAATAGAATCGGCCAAAAACTAATAGAGACTTTAATAGAAATCCAATAGAACTGTCTAGTGAATTCACTAAATTTTTCTATTAAACACTTTCACACGTCGATATGTTATATGAACACAAAAGCACTTTTTCATTGGTTTAAAATCATATGCATACCCTTTGAATAGAAATAATTTTGTGTGAAATGTTCTAAACGAATCAATTCAAAGTTTTTAATGGCTAATTGAATTTGAGATCGTGCTGAAAAATTTATGTCAAGCAAAATCTTGAGATATTTTTGGAGCAAATTTCAATTTTTGGAGCAGAGTAACCCCGCTATAATACCCTCAAACGAGACTGATCAATTTTCCTCCCAAGGGCGGGAGTGAAATTCATTCATCTGCTCTAGTACTTCATATTCCAATAATTAAAATAATAATCATAAACTCTATTCAAATTGTTTTCTGAAATATTTACCGAACGGAGGATTCTTTCTCCTCCTCATTTCCACTCTCATCGGAGTCCTGTTGACGTTTTCTGAGAGGTTTATTTCTTATTCGCTTCTTGAACTCAACCTTTTCCATTGTTCCTTCACTTTCTCCGTTCATTTCCCTGGATAAATTGAAATTAACCGAAGAATTTCCTTCTCACACACTCTCTGATGATTGACTTATTCATTATGAGGTTATATTATTGTTGTGTAGCTATTGTTATTATTATTATTCTCTACTCCATCTGGTGTTGACTGGTAATACTAACAAGGGCGTCGGGTAGTTCCGGTATTTGAATACGTGTTATTCTTGTGTTTTTTGCATCCGGATGAAGCATTGCATTCGTCAAATCCAAAATGTCCAATTTTTTGTGACAGGATAACTAATTTTGTCCTGAGGAGTTCGAATATGCTATTTTCATCACACAATCTGTAAAACGTCGTTTACATTTCACTACACTTCGTGTCTCTGAGACGCCATTTACGGACATTGTGAAGAAATAGTGTATTCTGCACATAGGACGGAAAGTCAAGTTTTTCCTGCTCGAAGTGCACACCCTATTTTTCGTCATATGTGCACGGAAAGTTCGATTTTCCTTCCCCAAATGACGGGAGGGAAGTGGCTTATTTCATTCCTCGGATTTCCGTTGTTTTTGACGATCCTTGAAATGACATATAACCTACGTTCCTCCCTGCATTTACGAAGAAAAATCGAATTATACCCTGCAGTTATGCCCAAAAATAGTTTTCGTCACTAGACCCGATAAACTGCGTTTTTAACCTCGCTTCGCTCGGTTAAATCGCGGTTGTCGGGCCTACTGACAAAATAGTATATTTTGTTAGGAGTGCGGAAATAGTTATTTTCATCACAAGGTCCACAAAGTATTTTCTGACGAACGTGGCTTTGTAGGCCGAGCTGAAGGCTCGGCCTATAATCACATTCGTCAGAAAATACTTTTGGACCGTGTGATGAATGCAATTTTTCGTCAGAAGGCCCGTAAACCGCGATCAAACCGAGCGAAGCGAGGTTAGAATCGCGGTTTACCGGGTCTTCTCACGAAAAGAGTTTTTTGGCTCGTGGGAGCACGAGCCGAAGGCGAGTGATATAATCCCACGAGCCAAATACACTTTTCCCACGAGTATCGCACGACGGCGCATAAGCACTTGCGTGAGGTGTCAGTACACTCCGATGCGTTTCTCGGCCAACTCGATGGAGATAGAGAATAGTTCAAATGAAAAATATTCGCCATTAAATTTTACATATAATTCGTTTTTTGAAAATTTTCCCTGCACCTAGCCGTTAATGAGATATTAACGTTTTTGTGTTGCATAATGGGGCAAACTACCTACGTTTTCGTTTATTACAGTTCCGCGAGTGAATGGTTCGAGATACGAAAAAAATATTTCGGAGTCCGTAAGATTCATGTGTGGAATTCATGTTTTTTGGATCGCTACTTTCAAATTTTTCGGTTATTTTTTTTTAACGGGGTGTTCTCATTGTTATTAACAATTTAATTGTTTAAATCGCCCTAGCACCTAATCTATGCGAGGTAGAAAATAAATCAAATTATAAATTATTGAGACCTCTTGGGCTTCGCCACCTGCTCGCTCCACTCGCCAACCCTTCGCGGTTATCATGCGACCCATTAGGAGCGATTGGTTTGTTTTTAGAAAAAGGCCACGGTCAACGCCGTAAAAGCCCCATATCACCAATGACCCTCACATGAACCCCATATAACTCTTATTTTGATCTTCATTCTCATCTGATCTCATTATTATCTTACTCTTATTCGGACCCTACTTCTCACATTTATCCTGACCCTTATCGTGACCCTAATTATGACCTTACTCCGGATCCGTATCCTGAATTTAATCCTGAACCCTTATAACGCTTGGTTTCGAGTCTTAATTTTTCGGCTTATTTTTTATCGCCGGAGTATGAGCCCCATATGACCCTCATATGAGACCCATACATGACTTCCATATGCTCCTTATATGATTTCCACATCACCCCTATATGACCCGTATTCTGAGCCTTACCGGGAAGGGTCCCGATAAGGCTCAGAATTAGGGAATTCTGACCCCTATCGGGACCCTAATTCTGACCCTTGTGACCCTTGGTTTCGAGTCTTAATTTTTCGTCTTAATTTTTATGACCCCCTTGATTTCAAATCTTAATTTTTCGTCTTAATTGTCTTAATGATCCCACATCACTCCTATACGACCCGTATTCTGAGCTTAATTTTTCGTCTTAATTTTCATCGCCGGAATATGACCCCCATATGGCTTTCATAGGACACCCACGTGATCCCCATATGTTCCTAATATGATCCCCACATCATCCCTAGTGACCCGTATAATGATCCGGCCTTACCCCGACTCTAATTTTGACCCTCGTGACCCTTGGCTTCGAGTCTTAATTTTTCGTCTTAATTTTTATGACCCCCTTGATTTCAAATCTTAATTTTTCGTTTTAATTGTCTTAATGACCCCACATCAGTCCTATATGACCCGTACTCTGAGCCTTAATTTTTCGTCTTAATTTTTATCGCCGGAATATGACCCCCATATGGCCCTCATATGACACCCACGTGACCCCCATATGTTCCTAATATGATCCCCACATCATCCCTAATGACCCGTATAATGACCCGGCCTTACCCCGACTCTAATTCTGACCCTCGTGACCCTTGGTTTCGAGTCTTAATTTTTCGTCTTAATTTTCTATCGCCAGAAGTCGATTTGGATTTTTGTAATATTGAGACGATGCAATAAGGAATGTTATTTTTTTAAATGTTAACTTCTTTAAATACTAGTAAACATTTTCCTAAAGCACCATAGAAAGTTTCCTGAAACTATAGACCACAACAGACTGCAGTGGCCGGTGGACGAGTCACGATTTTAATGTACAGTGCAGTCGAAAAGGTAAAACGTGTATTTTTCACTCCGTAATGTCGCGCGTTCCATCCCCACCACCGCGCTTACGCGCCCCGCCCGATATACGACTCAGTAAAGAGCTAAAACACGGTCAAACACACTCCCCGCGACGTATTATTCACAACGTAAGCGTCCACTTGACTGAATTGATTCAAACTATTTTTTTTAATTCTGGAATTATTAAAACAATCCTCTTTCAGCCAGCTGGAGATTATTACCGAGACATTCACCAGCTTTATCGAGGGAAACGAGAAGTGACTTTTGGTACGTGAGTAATTATTCTGTTCTCCTCAATGATATTGGTTCACGCCTTTGATGACTCCATCCATTCACCTGTAGCTTTTGTGGGAGTCAAGAATTTTTTTTTCTGGGTTCAACAACAATTGAAGGGAAATAGTGCTCTTTTTACTCGTTCTTTTTGCATTCTGTTGTTGCATTGTGATGATTTCAGTTGAAGGAATTTTGAACGGAATGTCATGACTAATGAGATAATTCCAGTAATTAAGTGGCGACTAGTGAGAGAAAATTTTCGGAAATAGTTAAGGTTCATTTCCGAGTGACGAGGTTTACGAGAATTCGGGAGAGAATCTTTCTTTCATCGTGGAAAACTTTGAAATCTGTCAGAAAAATTTACTCACAAATTGTGTCAACACTCTTTCTTCCTGAGGTATTTGAAAAGTAATAAGAGGGTGGTCATGATAAATGTTGAATGTAAAATTATTTCGATGACGAAGGGTTTCATGGGAAAATTTCAGAAGAAAGTTTCAAGTCGACGGATCATGTTCAAATATTAAATGCCCTGATTATTATCATCACGTATGGACAAATTCAATAGAAAAACTTGTCGAATTCGTTTGAAAATTCGATTGGGATTCTATTAAAATTCTAGGGAATTCTCGTTAAAATTCTATTTGTTTTTTGCGCTCATTCTGTGAGATATTTGATTGGAAAAAGTCAATAGATTTCAATTTTTCTATATGAATATTCTCTTGGAATTTTTTCTATGAGAATACTTGGGCATGAATTGTCCTAGTTTTTTTCACTCGGATCCTGGAATGCAAAATAAAACAAATTACAGCAGAAAAAAATTGAAAAATCCGTGCCCAATAATTTTAATAGAAAAAATCTCAAGAGAAAAATTCAAACAAAAAAGTCGAAATCTATTGACTTTTTCCTATCAAATATCTAATAGAATCTGCGTAAAAAAATGAATTTTAACGAGAATTCCCTAGAATTTTAATACAATCCCCATAGAATTACATAATAATAATAATAATGCGATAAAATTTTCTGGAATACATGGAGAGAGTTTTCGATTACCCGAATGAGATTTCGAATGACTTTTGTTTTTTGTGTTTATTTTGATCACAAAAAAACACTTTTCATTGAACTTTACCATAATTCCTCTTCATTTAATTCTATAACTTGTGAATTAAGGAAAAATATATATATATAATAAAAATAAGAATGGATAAAATTGAATTAATCCAATTGTGAAGACACAAATTGAAATAAAATAAAATAGAATAAAATAATATCAGTTAATCCAGAATCGCGAGTTTCTACAGAATTCGAATAGAATTTTCTAGCGTATTCGCTAAGGTTTTCTATTGAATTTTTTCATGCATGATATTTCGTTGACTGCATTAGGAATTTCGTGAAGTGTGAAAATAAATTTCTTTGATGGTTAATTAAAATGCACATAAAATTAAAAAAATGAAATAATGAATTTATTGTTTGCAGATGTAAGTGAATCTCAAATTATCTACATACCTAAATAGAAAATGTCAGACGTCTTAGCGAATCGTGATGCGTGGAAGGAGTACGAATACAACAGAGAACACCAGATTTATTCAAATTTTACACCGTTCTATGTGACAGTCGCCATATTTTCTATCATAGGTGGAATCATATTCATCTTCAACATCATTTGTTGCTCCTGCTCTCGTTATAAACACTACTGGCGGGACAGACACACGGGTAAGATTTATTATACGAATTTACTTACTGACTAATATTCTAAGTGTACTAGATACAGCGTCACGTTCCATCTCCACGCACGAAAAAATTTAATAGAAAAACCTATCGAATTCATTAGAAAATTCGATTGGATTTCTATTAAACTTCCTATTAGTTTTTGGCTAATTCTATTGACATGTTCAATAGAAAACATTCAATAGAAAAAGTCAACAGAATTCGATTTTTCTATATAACTTATTCTTTTCATATATTTTCTATAGAATTTGCTCGACTCAAATTTTCCAAGTTTTTTTCATTTTATTTTTCTTTTCTTCTCATCAAGAAAATCAAACGAAATAACTTAGAAAATTTGAGCCGAGGAAATTCTATAGAAAATATCTCAATAGAATAAGTTGTATAGAAAAATTGAATTCTATTGACTTTTTCTACTGAATATTTTCTATTGAACATTTCAGTAGAATCGGCCAAAAACTAATAGAACAGTTCAATAGAAATTCAATAGAATTTTTTAACGAATTCGATAAGTTTTTCTATAAAATTTTTTCGTCCGCGTCATTGAATGAAATAAAACTCTTTCTTTCTTAGATTTTTACGTTCATTCCAATAATGCTGTTGTTGGATATTAATGACACCCATTATCCATTTGAATGACAAATTTTTAATTATATGAAATGCATAATCCATTCATCCTAAATGAAATCTCTGTTAGATTCCAAATAACGATTATTACATTAATTTAGTTAATAAGAGTATTCTTTCCGCCATATAAACAATGATTTCATTCCTAACTACACTGAGAGAAAGATTTCGCAGTTTCTACGGAATAAAATAGAAATTCTTCCTACACCGTGGTGGCATCAGTTTTCGAATAGTTAAGGGGCATCCAACAATATCGGATTATCCGTGTTTTTTTCTGTCAAATGTGAGATATCAACTTTTAGAAGTTATTTCACATGTTTTTCCGATAGAAAGACACTTGAATTTGAATGATAAAGTTTGGAATTAGACGAATATTCGCGAAAATAAAACATAGTGTCCCGAACCCAGATTTGGAATGTCCAAAATCGACCCACTCCAGTTGACGAATAACGTGGGCGCAGTTTTCGACTAAAGCGAATTAAAGGGGTTTGAATAATCGAGGACAAATTTGAGTACACTAGAATAGTCAGCGCGCGTATTTCCTACGCCATGGTGCTTAAAGTAGCTCTACCCTTACGGTAAATTCAAAAATTATTGAAAACTGCAAAAAAATTGCAGAAAGCTCGATTAGATTCGGAATTCTAATTTTTTTCCCAATTTAATTATCGTTTTGGTTTTTCAAAAAAGAAATGTTTAAAAATCAGGATTTAACCCAGTGTCTTATGCGAAAATCAACATTTCCATTGTAATCAAAGATTAAAATCTGGATTTTTTTTCATTAAATGTGAAAAAATCAAGAATTTTTTTGATACCTCATAAAAAATAATCCACCGTTTTGCAAACAAGTTTTATTATTTATTTATAAGAGGGAAATGTTTGACAAATATCAATATTTCGCAAAATTTAATTTAGATAATACTGACTGGGTTTGAATTTTTTCAAATTTTTTCCATGCAATTTAGTTGAAAAATTAAAAAACTGGAAATATCCAAAAGTACAGCGTAGCCCGGCCGAAGGGTAGAGCTACTTTAATGTATGTCAATTGTAGTGAATAATCTTATATTAAATTTCTGAAGTTAATATCAAAGTTTCCGAAGGAAAAGTTTCAGGAATGTATTCTATTTTTTTATATACTAGGAAAAGGGCGCGCGCTCCGCGCGCTTTTAATTCATGGCCCTCAAGTTAAGCTAAGTTATTATCATAGATGATTAATAATTATTTATGGCCCATACTTTTCTTTAAAGATCGTTTTCACTATTAAAAAAAGAATGGCCTGTTTTTTGTCAACAATTTTTAAAACCATTCACTTTTGGACATAATTGGAATTTTAATGGGATGTGGAGGACTTGAAAAATTTTATATTATATATATAATATGCTTATATTTCATATATAATATAATAATATAATTATTTAAAAAAAATATTGATAAAAAATGAAAGTATACATATGAAATATTTTTCTATGTATATTTTTTTATTATAATATTAAATACATTTATATATATATGAAAATATTAGACAATCTTTATATAAAAAAAATATAAAGATATCAACAATATATCTAAAAATTATATTTAAAAAAATGAAATGAATGAAAAAATAAAAATGTAAATATAATTTTTTTTAATATCATATATTATTTTGTCGTTATTATAATATATATAATGGATAATTAATACATCTAATTTGAAAGAAATTAAATAAAAAGGTATTTAAGTTTAAGGTGGAAATATTCCTAAGCATAGGCATGGCGGAATAGATTGCTGACAAAAAACGTTACATTCTTTTTTTAAAAGAGGATAATTCATCTAGCGTGACTTTTTTTAAGCCAATTTATTCGGCGTATTGTGTCAGATTTTTTATAAACGATGATACAATGCATCAAAGTTATTACGATAATACGATACTATATTATATATACTATGTATAATATACAATATATAGTCGAGTGCTATATGTATTATAAACTATAATGTGCATAATAAAAAAATGAAATAATAAATTGATAATAATAATATGCATAATGTATTATAATATAGTATACTATAGAATATAATATAATAAAGTATTATCATGATATCTTTAATGTATACTATCATCATTTATGAAAAATCTAATGACACAATACGCTGAATAGATTGGCTCCAAAAAACGTTACACTGGATTTTTTATTAACGGAATACGTATGGACACGGTCTGAAATAGTTATTTTCGGACTTTTTGGATCATAATGGGTCGATATAACACGAAAAATTCAAAACTTAAATTTGAACAATTACAATGGTTTCATCCGGAAGTAAAACTAAATCGTAATTGCTATTATACCCTGTTTTCAAAAATTTTGAAAAAAAACCTCTGTAGCTCAGAAATTGGAGACCATGGACTATTTTTAATGCTTCAAGCATCTGCGGCGCAAAGGAACAATGAACCATTAATTTTTAAACAATTAATTTCAGTGGCGAAGCGATTTAAGTCGATTTAGACTGTCGGTCAGTTTTTAATTAATAGCTCGGAACCTAAGGGAGATAGCAAATTTTTTGTCATAACCTTTTTTGTGGAGTGAATTGAGTGCTGCAAAAAAGGTTATAATGAAAATTTTGCTATTTCTCTTAGATTCGGAGATATTCCTCGAAAACTCAGCGCAGAGCTGAGCCAACTTTAATCGGTTCACCGCTTCACTACTGATTTTCTATATAATCGATCTTCAATGCCTGATAAAACTCACTCCAATACCCAGCGAATTTTAAAACTCATAGTAGTCCCCCCTTAATAAAGAATGTTATTATTCATGAATATTAATGAAATTAAATTTAGGACTAATTTCTAATAAATGTTTCTCCCTCTGTATAAATGGAGGAAACAAAATTAATAATTTCATTTGATAAAACCAAGGAAATCGTTGGATTCATCCACTGTGGGTAGTGACACCCCACAAGAACCCGCCCCTGGACCTCACCCCAATAAGAAGAGGCTTCAACGACGGGGTTGTGTACTCATTGCAACCCGGTCAAGCCTATTCAACCCGAGGATATCCCTCCCAAGGGACGCATTACTCTGAATCAGTGCAAGGGGACTTGGAGGCCCAGTACGACTCCAGATTAGGTACACCACAGCCCCAAGAGTACATGGAACTCCACAAACGGGAGAGTGAAATTTGAATTGTCACTACATTTAACCGAATTATCTCAGTCCATTGATCAATCGTTCCAGCGATTTCTGATCGTACAAAATAGTTTTAGAACTTAACAGTCAATTGAGAGGGGAGATTTAGAATATCAACAAACTTCTTCTTTGAATTTGAATTCAAAGTTTCGAATTTATACGAAAGTTTTAAACGTATTGGGAGAAGAGAGAGAGAATTCTATTATAAATTTGAAAGTTGGAGTTGCAATCTGCGGGCGTATTTGCACAGTGGAATCTGTACGATTTGAGAGTTTTCAGAGTTTTCTTCACAGGAAAAATGAGTTTCCACATTTTTTGGCCAGCCAGCGCCTGCCTCGCCATGTTTATCATTGTGGTTATTATGATTATGCTGAAATGGGGTACGAATTTCTGTGAGAAGTACTCGCCCAGGCGACCTTACTATACATCAGGGTATGTGGATGGCGGACATGCTTATGCTCGTGATGTTTCAGAATCTATTGCATAGGATTTTTATTCAGTTTCTCTCAGGAAGTGACGGAGAACAGGATGAAACGAAAATTCCATGTGTATTATGATGAATTTTCCTAAATCGATTCTTGTCTGAATTATTCAGAGAATACACTGATAGAAAATTTATTTTTATTGAGATGTTTCTTTCTTGAAACAAGTATTATACATTTGAACCAATTTCAAATAAATAAGATCTTACGGTGAATATCAATTATTTCTTCTCGGGATACATTTACTTGAATCAAATAAAATAGTCCTGGGCGTCAAGTCACATGTATTCACCACAAAAATTGAAAAGTTCTATTTTTTTAAACCTCATAATCTCCAGTCGAGCAATTTTCTACTTTCATGAATTGATCAAAAATTCGTACCTAGGAGATGATTACATTGAGGAATGAATTGAATGTTGTTTGCTCGAATGAAACCGATGTTTAAATTGGGCTTTCCGTATATCACATTGGACGAAATTTGTGATATCCAAGTTTGTGTAGAATTTTCGTAATCTGTGATTCGTTTATTGTAAATTAATGCATTTTTTTTAGTCAAGAAATATAAACTTCTTTCAACTCGACGACATTTTACTACAATCTCAAACATTTTCCGCGTAATAATATTCATCCTGATTCGACATACGAAATGCTCACTTCAATTATAATTGACTTGGAATAACGTATGATCGTGTTGATTGAGATAACAACGTATTCAGTCATAAGAATAATTTTGATTTTTGAATAAACCAACGAATTTTTGGAGTTAGCAAACTTTTGGCTAAAAAGAAATCAAATACTCTCATTATTGCGACAAATAAAAGAAACTTCAATTCTAGAGAAGTTCGATTTCTGCCAATAAATGTATCTCAAGAAGAGATAACTGGTATTCACTATGAAATCATATTTATTTGAAAATTAACAACCAAATGACAGTTGGTTCAAATAAAATTCTCTTGATAAAACTAATTTTTTCTATCAGTGTTGCGTGCATGACATTTTAAAAATTAACTTCACTCATTTCATTCGGGTGTAGAAATTATTTCGATCGTGTCTCGACAAGCGAATATTTCAGAACAACCATAAAAGAAAGATATTATTCTAAAAAATTATGTTCTCTCGGCAGCTCACTGCAGATTGAAATTCAATGCAAAGATGAAATCATCACGAAACCATCCCGTCATTGTCCGTCAAAAATTGTAGTATAGAATTTATAGAATTGAATTTAGCAGTCAATTCCGTCCAATTGTAGCACGAAGAGAAAGAGCAAAATCCTCTTATACAGTTTTATAAAGGTTTTAAGAAATATTTAACTTTTCGAATTTTGAGATTTTTGCTTGATATATACGCAGTGCCTTACGAATTAATTATAAGGTTTATGAATTACTTACAAGAGATGCAAGGAGAGAAATCTGTTGGAACATTTAACCTGCTGTTGTTTATTTCAAACATACCAAAGGCGAATTTAATCTCTTGCTTCGCTATGTAAGGAAGAATTCAGTGATCTGATGCAGCGCCACAAAGTGTTATGATCTGATTTTTACCATTCCCTCCTGTACTCCGTCCAATTGTATTTTTATACGTTTTTTATGGTTTTGGAAGTGATAGAAATATGTAATGAATTGTGTCTTGGTGTTTTTGAGCGAATCCAAATAAAATTTTATTGATTAACATGAGTAATTTGTGATTAATCATATCCAGCCTTACATTTATTCTTATTTAAGCGGAAACATTACTACATATAGAGGAGTAAAAAGAAGACGTGTCTGGAAAACATTAATTCAGCCGAATTTCTTCGAAATAAAACTAGCAGGGGACAGCGAGCATATGACTCCCGAAATTCCTGGACAATTCTCGAACCTTCCATAACAAAAAGGATTTAAACCCGCATGCTCCCGACCAAATAGATCAGTCGAACTCAGTCTGATTCTCAAACTCGATGTAAACACATCTAACGTGATAAATACTACCGACTTAACTCTACTAAACCACGAGTTATTATTCCACGATATACACCTGACCGCCACATTTTTTCATTATTTATCCCGTAATCCTGGGGAAAAATGGTACGGAAAATATAAGTTAAATCGTGGCGCCAAAGGAATCGTAACCATCCTTTCTAATTATCCTGGAGATATCACATTCATAGAGCTCGAAATCACGATTTTCTTTCGCTCCAGCACGAAAACCGGAATCCTGCAGAAAAAAAGTCATGGAAAAAACGATTGAGAAAAAAAAATTCAGTCAAAAACGCATTCAACTAAGGCAATATCGCTTTCGTGAACCTAGTGACTCTTTTTTTGTGCCCCTATAGCCCGAGACTTTTAAAACTCATTGTAGTCTCCCCTTAATCCGTTTGCACTTCCCCCCATTTTCCACTCCAACATTCATTTGAATAATAATTAAAGACAGGTTTATATTAATTTTAATTTTATTGACAACATTGCATTTTTGTTTATTTTGTTACATGTGTATTTCTCTTGATTACACTTTTCTTATTCCAGTTGTTAATTCATTACAATAATAAATGTCTGACGAATTCCTTGAAACATTACTTCAATGCATTACCATGAAAACATAATTTTCTGATAGAAAGAATATTTGACTTCATCTTCATACTTGCAGATATCCAGGGAATCAAAAAACTCCCAAATTAACGAGTTAATCAGTATTTAATTATTACAATTCTCATAGTCGTGTGCATTACCATCTCATTCGGTACAGCAATCCCTCGATTGGCGATAATTCCGGTCAATAATTGTGCATTTAACTTCATCATTTATTTATCACCCTTTTAACCAATTCAATTACCTCGATTTTCTTTGATTTATGCAGAGCACCATTACCGTATGAGAATTTCAGACCGAAAATTTGAAAATTTCTATCTCGAACAGAGTTACTTATCATTAGTTGAAAAAAAATTTCAACTTTTCGGCCATTAATTTCAATTATTAACTTTTTCATTTCTCTTTCAGTTGATTATAAAAGTTTACACGTGAAAATTCGAATAACTGACGAATAGTATATTCAGAGTATGGGGAGGACAGAGGATAATGGAAATACATATCTAACAATTCTAAAATTTTTTCGAGAATTTATTTTTCTCCCCAATAATTGGATTAGTCAAAAAGTTGTGAGGAAGTTGCTACGGGTATTCTATTTATCTCTTCTCTGCTACTTATTCGAGAACAAAGAGTATTAAAATGAACAGTTAATCATATAGCATAAGTGTAGTTTTTTTCCGCTATTTCCGCTATGTTACAATGCAAGTTTTAAACATCGAGAGTTTACGTTTTTTTTAATCGTTAATATTTTTTGAGATTTTCGTTCGTTTACGCTTTTTATCGGTCGTTGGGATCTCTAAGAGGTCAGCGATATCTATCCAACTTTGGGAGACTTCAAACAATGATTGAAAAGGGGGATAAGGGCTCCACAGAATAGATAAATTCTATCTTATTTTACCTCATTTCTAAAATGATAGTCCTAGGTATTTTTTATTTATCATTATTTATCTTACGATGATATGGTGTATATGATGCCGAGCGGTGTAGAGAGCCCGGAGTACGCGCCACAATTTTATCTATTTTGTTTTCTTTTGATTTTGTTGACATCTTGTTTTCTCACATTCTGAAAAATTTGATTTTTCGTATTTTGATATATTCAAATCCAACGGATCCTGGCGTACAATTTTTTGAATTCTCGGAATAATTCAATGGGAAAATGTGTAAATATTTGATTTTAAGGTTCAACTATTTTATAATAAAAAATTGGATGAATCCAATTTTTAGATTTTGATGAAATATTGATTATTATTTCCTCTTTTTAATTTTTCTTGTTTGATTTTTGTGCTCATTGCTGATGCATCGTGGGAGGTGTGGTCCCACGATAGCTCTGAATGCTTCACGGAATTTATAAATAGTGAAAATTTATAGTCAAGTGTAAATTAACAGTCGACGAGTCCCTCACACATATTTATTATTCATTACGGTTATTCATTTAATATTAGATAAAATGGACTCGTCACAGTTGAAATCGTTGTAGTTCGCCTGGTTCTTACTAGTGTTTTTTCTAATACTTTTCAAACAATGAACGATTACGAGTACATACTGTTTATTTTTTTGTATTTTTGTTTAATTTCAAGAGATTTACACAGATTTAGACAATTTTATTCTTCACTATTTTATTCTGCTCTTTGGAGTGATTAAATGTAAACATCTTGTCATCATCATTAAATGTTTAACATCTTGTAAACCACCAACAATTGCAAAAAGTTGATTAGCCGAGGGGAAAAATATGGAAGCAATGTCTTTACTATTTTTTTAAAATCAGACTTGATGAAGCCTCCAAGGAAATTTGTGACTCAGTTCACAAGTTTTCATTCATTTTGTTTTATTGCTTCAGCTAAAACGATAACATACGAATTTATTGTACAATCACACGGACGCTGAATTATCTTTTATCTGATAGTTTTTTTTTATTTCATCATCGGAAAATTAACTGATTGTTTTTTTTTATTGTTTAAATTATTATTAATTTTTTTGCACCGAGGAGACAAGGATCCGTTTGTGTTGAACGTTCAATTGCCAGGGAGGTGCTTATTTGGTTGTTGATTCACTCTTTACTGCTTTGCGCTCTTCTTGTTTCCTCGCTCAGCTGGAAGAATTTTTTCTTAGTGAGTGGTCTATGGAAATTATGCAAGACTCCTTCAGCAGGGAGAAGGGGAATTCAGCTGTAGTGAAGGAAAATATTCTTCGTAATTCTAAGTAGAGATTACTGGAATAGTCAACAACTAGGAGTTTTTGTGAAATTTTAATAGTTTCTCCTCGGAAGAGTCAGTCAGTTTGATTGAGTATGCAAATTTCAGTCTCTTGTGATGATGATGATACTCTACACTGAGAAAAAAACAAACACGTTGTCAAACAAGTCTTGTTTGGACCAACAAAATCGCTAGTTGAAAATTGCCAAAAAAGAATTTGTTTGGTTCGAATTTGAAAGTCTCAAACATGAATAATTGTTCTGCTTTCGACAGTAACGAAATATTTGGCTCAAGAGGCGGATAATTCACACCAGACGGTGCCTTTTCAGAATGAAAATATCTCATATAGAGGAAAACTTATCAACAAATATTTTATCCCTAAATTAGAATATTGCTGTCATATCATTATTATTGTTTCATTTAAGGATTCATTTCTTGTCTATGATTATTAGACAGCTGAAATGAACAACTACTATCGCTTGTTTCGCATAAAACAAAGATTTATCGGGAGCAAAATACGTATGGGAGTATCGAATAACGAAGGAGTAGTGCTAGAAATGACATTTGTTGTGTGTACAGAGAATGCAATTTTTTTTGAACTACTAAATCCATTTTTGCGACAAAAATTTTTCATTCCGACGCACTCTCTGCGTGTTTGGCACAAAAAAATCCTTTTTTGATAATTTTCAAAAAACTAGTTTTTTGGCACAAGTAAGACTTGAGTGAGAATTTTGTCGTTTTGCTCTCAGTGTACGATACCGGGACCTTCAATAAATGCGAATTTCAGGGCTACACGAGAAACAATTTTAACAATGAATGGGAAATTTCGCGGTGTTACTGAACAACTTTTCATACTGTACTAATACGCAACATTAGTACAGTATGAAAAGAAAAACTAAATTCCATTAACGGTGGTCTGGTCACTGTGCGCGACCCTGCGACTTAGTCACCCCGCGGGGATTCACCGCCGCGTTATTTTGGCTCCAGGGTTGCCGAATTCACTCTACACTGTCCGGGCGCGTTTAGCGAGTTTCCCGCAATGTCGCATAATGTTCAATTTCATTTAAGGATGTTCGACACCCTTTTAGCCAAAATTGACGTTGTTTTCATTTTTCTGGCAAATTATCGATGGGAGTGACGTGAAAAAATATAACGATTTTGTGGTTTGTCATTCTTTAATGGCTCACGAAGTTGCGTAGTGGTGCGATAATTTTCATGCGTTTTTTCTACAGTTTTGTGATTCTTTTTAAAAGTTTAGAGAAAACGCAGGAAAATGTTCGCACCACCTTAAAATTTCGTCAGTCATTAAATAATGACAAAACGCAAAAACGTTATATTTTTTCACGTCAATTCCATCATAAGTTTGCCAGAAAAATTAAAAAAACGTGAATTTTGGCAGAAAGGGTGTAGAACATCCTTAAGAAGTAACAGAATGCGGCCAATTTTCAAAATTTTCCAACCAATTTCCTGCCCAAAGTTATCGATGTTTTTACAAATCAAAGCACATTAATCTCCAGGAGGCGATGATAAAGGTCAATGTGCTTTGGGTTAAAAAAATACTAATAACTTTGAGCAGGAAATTTGTTTGAAAATTTCGAGGAAATGTTGGTCTTCTGTCATTCCTTAAGGTATTTTGTGTGAAAAGTTAAAGTAATGAAAATAAATTGGAAAATTCATGGGAGAATTGTCGGAGTATGATGCATTATTGAGAATTTTTGCACATTTTTTTCAGATCTCAGCCGGAAGAAAAAAACTATAAAATATGAATGTTTTTGTAACCCCTTCAGCTATAATTTCCCCTTTTGTGATTTTAACTACTGTGTCACATGTCAAATTGCAAATTTGATTTAATTTCGAATAAATGGTGCATTTTAATTTAAAAAAACTGATTCATTATGTGAATCTAAATAATCCAATTAATAAACGATACAACACAATAAATACAATTATTGCTGCAATCAATAACTCAATGAATAGCTAGAGCAATTAACAACGCTCAATGATAAAAGGTAGAATAATTCAATTAAATCAGTCCAATAATTTAATTCGATTGTCAATTTCCAATAACTTGACTAAATTTTTCATAAATGTTGCAATCTGATAGATAAACTCAATTCAATTCATTATCTCAATGCGCATCTCTGTTAATGATACCCAGTAGCTTGATTGTTTCATGGTTTCAGGGTATATTCAGAAATTAATTTTCTGATGATATTATTTGGTGATGAGGCATTTGTTTAATGATGCTATTTGGAATGTTACTAGACTGAATGTCATTAGTCGAACTGTTATCTAGTTGAAAAAATATGCATTCGTCTTTTCAATTTGTAATTCTTGAATGACTCTGCCAGTCAAATGGAAGAGTTTAGCAGTAAGGGAGGCACTGAAAGGAATTCAATTTTTTTTTCCGTGGCATGATTTCATTTATTGAGGATAAGAAGTCAGGGAGACATAGATACCTTAAGCGGACGACGGTAAATTATCACTGAAATTTCTCGTTATTAATTAACTGGAAAAAAAAATTCTGTTCACAGAAACCTACAAATCCACAGAAGATTCTTGGTGTTCAAAAACTTTCACAATTTGACCTATATTCTTTCTCCCAAATTCATTGTTTGTAATACCTCAATGTAAACGGGGGTGTGCGAATCGGACGAATGAATTTTTTCAATAAAAAATATTTTTACGGCAGGGGTCGATTTTGCATTGTGGTCCGTTTTGCCCGCCCGGCCCATTTTGTCCTACCGTCCCCTAATTCTTAATCAAGTAAAAATCAATCAAAATTAATCCGAGATTGGTCACTATAATTATGAGGGATGCGTCGCAGCGCATCGTTTTTCCTTAATTGCCATTGACTAACTAACCGGAAAAATTCAAAAAAATTTGACTTTGAAGTGTCTAAAAAATTATAACAGTTAAAAAAAAATACAATTCCCGAAATTCATGAAGACAGCAAATCGAAGTGGTAAAACAGAACAAGTTAATTTTGACAATTGACCAGTTTTCAATGAATATCTCGGAAAATTTTTATCATAACCTTTTTTGTAGACCCGATTGAGAACTACAACAAATATAATTACGAAAATTTCGCTATGTCGCTTAGATTCGGAAATATTTTTCAAAAACTTAACTGGGAGATAAGTCGACTTAAACCGTTTTACTATAACCACTTCGCTACTGAAATGATTTCCAACAGATGATTCATTCTCTCCCTCGTTAAATGAAATCGCTCGCTACGCGGCGTTGTCGGATACTCGTCAAACGCGCCCGAGCAGTGTAGAGTGAATTCGGCAACGCTGGCGCTTCAATAACACGAGGGGAATCCCCATAGACGGGACAAAGTCGCAGGGTCGCGTACGGTGACTAGGGTTAAATTCAGTTCGAAGCTTAATTCTAACAATGAGACAATTAAAAATTCAAGTCATCATTGAAACTTCTACGTTTGTCGAACATGAAATAACTCAATTTTTTAAATTTTCATCATGATTCTGGAAACAATAGACAATCCCATTTCCAATTCTAATGAATCCGATGGCATTAACTGCAGTTGATTTCTAGTAGTGCAAGAGATAATCACGCATCATTGGTTTTAATTACCTTTCGCCGATTTTTTTGTGTTGGTCTCCGGTTTACATCTCTTTGTGACGCGACGCGTTGGCTCACATGATGGATCGCTATTTGGCTTCAGACTGTCCACTCGTGTCATCGACTGGTTCACACAACTGCTCAATGGGCCTTTCTCGTATCTGCATGCTGCGCTTGCCGCCACGCATGTTAACGAAAACAAAAAATTGATTTATTATAATTTTGTTATGAATGTTCAATCACTAGAAATTGATCGGTTGTAATTGTTTGTTTTTGGTCGTCATATGAGATTGAATGATAGAAAAACTTTTTATTTTAAATCGATGAGACTGTTTTAATAATAAAAAATATTCTTAATCGCTCATGAATTGCAAAAACTGTTATGGATTTCATTGTTAAAATTCAATTTGTTTTCACTATTTAGGACTTGAGAAAAGAAATGATTCAAGTAGTTCTAGGCTTTATTTTGATATCTGCTTGTTTGAAGCAGGTCGACTGAATCAATTAAATTCCAATTCCGGACTTGGTTGAGTAGAAAATTGGATCATTTGAAGGTGACAGGAGACTATTTTCCACTACACGGAGAGAAAGGTTCAGTAAAAATTACGGCACTCACAATTCGCTCACCGATTACGGAATCGACTCAGAAAATTCAAGTGACGGTATCGTAATTTCTTACAGGAGATTCAGATAAAAATTACGGAACGCTCTGGAAAAATTGTGTGACAGTTCCGTAAAATTTTCTACAACCACATTTCGCTCCGGAATTACGGAAAAGATGCGTAATTTTTATTGAATATTTCTGTCCATGTATGCAAATTGAAAATAACACATCAATTCAACACATAGTGTATTCAACTCATAGTCTATTCACCCCATACATATCGGACAGTAACACATATTTCGGATTCTACGTAAATTTGAAGCTACAGAGGTTTTTATTTTTCACAATTGTTGGAAAAATGTGTGTAATAACGATTACGAATTAGTTTTTTCAAATGCAAGTTCTGCACAGCGAATTTCTTTCTTTTTAATAAAAAAATGCACCATTCATGTAAAATAGTCCGAAAAATATTTCTGGAGGAATCAAGAATATATTTAAAATATTTTAGGGATTATTTTTCTGCCTATTTTACATGAATAGCGCAAATTTTTATATTAAAGAAAACGAAATTAACTGTGTAGGAGTCGAATTTTCAAAAACTAATTCGGAATTATTATTGGACACATTTTTTCAAAAATTTTGAAAAAAAAGTATAGTTAAAAAATTAGGGGCCCTGGGCTTTTTTCAACCCTTAAGGGGTAACAGAAGCCGTCGTCCCTAAGGCGACAATAAAGGGGGGGGGGGTTCAATGTTCACGTTCAGATCATTAACAAGTGTCCTAGAAGTGAAGCTGTTACGGGAACCTGCAGTCTTTGAGATTCCAAAGATACAACTTTCCTGATAAATTCCCTCAAATCACTTCGCTTCAAAGCAAACTCACTTGCTTTGAATAAGTTTTCAACTTATCTCATTTCATCACTTCACGACTGAAATGAGGAAACCATTGACTCGAGATTGATTTTAAGGCATATTTGTAGCGAATTAGTAGAATGAGATTGAGATAAGAACATGAATTTCATGCAGATCCTATGCCAGACATCTCGGAAGAGGATCATTCAATGATCGACAAAATATCGAGGAATTATTTTTTATCGTCCACATGTTGTCGCACCACAAAGCGCTAATTATCAAGGAAATTAACAGGAATAGTTAATAGGAATTGGCATGAACAATCTTCCGAACATCTTGATTCCCTCTGGGAATGAAGCATTGCACAAAAAAATGTAGAAGACCTTTCTGCACTCAGAGAAAATTACTGCAATGAAGATCTCTTGATTAATCTCTTTGAATCTCCTCTTTCAAAGACATCGGTGAAAGAATCTGCAAATTCAACTCATTATGGATATCTCTATCTATTCAGTAGTAAAGTCGTCAAGTCAATTTCATTCTGGTTCAGTTTTTTTCTGTTTGGGGCATTAAGGAAGGTGGTGCATTTATGTTACAGATAAATGTGGGCTGCAAAAAAATCTCTCCCAAAATTTCGCAATCGTTTCTAGATTGTGGGATGGTACAGAGAGGGCAAATTCTAGCAAAAATTAGTGTGATCAACCCACGGGATCACACCATGGTCACGAAAAAATTCGAATGCGGTACTCGATTTTTTGGGGGAATCTCACGGAAAAGTAGCATAAGCTCTTCAAAAATTAGAGTGTCACATTCGAATTATTCGGTGGACCATGCAAATTTTTTAAGTGACCCCTGTTTCGTCCCACGGCTACGCAAAGAGATGAACGACAAAGTTTTTAAACAAGTCAAAAAAAAATTCAATTCATTTGGGGTTTTAGGTGATTAGAAAATCTGATCAAATTGCGGTTCAACGACACTTCTAGTCTATAAAACCCCTGTGACGGTTGCGATCCAAGAAACTCACTTTTAATTCAACACATTCAGTATTCCTGATTTGAAGGAAAGAAAGAAAAACAAAAATTAACAATTTTCTGTCAGTGGTCCGTTTCCCCCAGGGGTCTATTTTGCCCTACCCTCCCCTATGCAATACAAGAGCAATTTCTCACTTGTTTTTGCCTTCGAAAGAAAGCTTTGTATTTGACTAATTTTTCGATTTTCTAATTTTGTTTGCAAATGGTCTAGAATGTTATGAAACGTGAAGAAATGATGTTTTTAGGGTCATGTCTGTGTGTAAGTGACCATTTGAGTTCTTTTCTGATGAGTTTTTAGAAAAATCAACATGAATACAATGAAATTTCTAGATAAAAATCTCAAATTTTGCCTTATTGTAGTTACGATCGAGCTCAACTTTGGCGCATTGTTTCAGCCCGATCGGTCCAGAAGTTCCTGAGATACAACAACTTGTTTAAATTTCGTTTTTCCTCAATATCTCAAACCTACTGCACCAATTTCAATTTTCCTTTCGTCAAAATACTTGTCTCGTTCTCTGAGTATAGTGGCTAGCAAAACAATTTTTGAATTCGCACGGGATATTCATGTATTTTTCGCTCCGCGTACACAGACATTCAGTTAGAAGCTCAGTCAGTTCATCCGTTCAACCACTTCGCCACACGGAGATAAATATTCAGAAAAAATTACGGAGCAGTTCACGTACCGCAATGAAGAGAAGAAATCTGAAACGCTCAGTGAATTCTCAGGTTCATTACCGAACAAATTACGAAATTTTCACGTAATTTTTCCCGAAGAAGTAAAATCTTACAGAAACTTGCCGACTTCTTGTGCCTCCAAAATAAAAAATTCTTGAACGTTCAACAATTGTTATGAAGCTGGTGAGTTATTTCTACATTACGTTCCGTAAAATTTCTCAATCGTTGGGGAAAAATTACGGAACGACTGTTGTTCCTACAGTGGTGATTCATCAGACGGGTGATTAATTTTTACGGGACAAATCGTAGAATTTACGTGGCGATTTGTACAATTTTAGCTCCGACTCACACTTTTTATTGAATTTTACTTCGCTCGCAGATTACGTTTCGAAACGTGATTTTTACATTTTTTTCTGGTAATTTTTATTGAATTTTTTTCTCCGTGCATTGTACCCATCTTCATCGTAAAAAGCGACTTCCAGATTCCTCATAAAATGTCTGCATCACAACAACAGCAACAACAACAACAACAACGAAAACATTCATATTAAAAGAAATGTCTACCTTTCTTGCACTTCTTCTGAATAGTCTTGGTCTGCTCGCAAGTTTTATTGTCGCCCTTTTTCAAATTAAGTGTACGCGTTCTCATATTAGTCTTTGGATCACACTCGGACCATTGACCCTTGACGTATCTGCAGAGTGCGGCGTTGCTGCCCCCGGATGCTGCAAACAATCATCATTTTTTTTTCTCTCTCTCTCTCTCTCTCTCTCTCTCTCTCTCTCTTATTTCTTTACTTCCTCTCTTCCAGTACAATGAGAAGGACAAAGAAAAATTTGTAGAGTCAAAAAGCTCGCTTTCCAGGGTCATGCACCTCAATAATGTTTAATTGCAAAATGTGAAACAAAAGATAAAAGTGGATGAGCATTTCTTTTTCCTCCACTCGACTCTTTTTATCTTGTATTTTTTTCTATTCTCTTGTTTTTCGGTCTTATTCTGTCTTATTTTCCAATCTGCTTTATACTTACTGCGCTCCTTAGTGCCCCGAACAGTACGTACGAGTACCTCCTTGTCATCCTCCTCCCAGAGATCCGATTCAGCTCGTGTAATTGCTGTCATCGACAGGGCAACTCCAACCACAAGTATCAGACTCCACCAGAGCTTCATTTTCTACCTGAAATAAGAAGAATAAAGCTTGTAATTGATAAAAGTGCATTCATTCCCTCTCTAGCTCCCCTGTTTATCTTTATATATATATATTTTTTTTTTTTCTTGTTTCGTCTCAGTTTCAATCGTGAAGCAGACGCGTCGTTGATAAATAGGGAAGTGCAGAGGCGGCTAAATTATACTCGGGTTATATACACTTGTGCAGATGGTGGAAAGACATTTCTCTCTATAGCGCACGAAAGAACCGAGAATCGTCTTCGTCGGGGCATTAAAAAACGGTCGGGGCAACCAGAGCTGATGAAATATCGATCGACTTGGAATTTCCGGCTTATGCGGGGAATCTTGGAGAAAAGAAATTCAGCTGGGGGATTAATTCATTCGGGTTTCAGGTGGAAAATTGGGGAAAATTACTGCACATTGTTGAATATTTCGCTGAAGTTATTTCGGGGTTTACGAAGGTGATGATTTCAGTGGGAAATTCATTTTCCAGATTTGCTGCACTGAGAAAAAAAATGTTTGCCAAATATCCATTTACTTGAGAGAAGTTTTTATTCTTTCAATACCGTATTTCTCCAGTCGAGTCATTACCGAGTAATTTTTATTAGGTTTCAATTATGACAATTATATCGCTCTAGAAGACGATTATATTGGTTATGACCTGGAGTGAATTTCCTCAATAATTATAAACATTGAAAAATTGATCGAAATTCTTCCCTCTAGAAAATAAGAAATTTAGGAAAACTGAATAATCATTGAAGGAGTTCATCCAAGGCAGGGAAAGCCATATTCAGAAATTATAATTACCGTTAAATTTTGAAACTGTCATTTAGTTAACATCATTCTTAAATTTTTAATTATTTTAGTAATCATCCATTTAAATGTTCAAATTCTGATTCTTATTTTTATTTATTTTTAACGTAATTTGTCACAAGAAGCTTGTGACTGGCCATCACCCGAGGGCCTTCAGCCTGGTATTTACATATTACATACAAAGTGTTGACTTTCGATCTGATTCCTATTAATTAATAATTTAGGTAGGAAGATTGCCGATTATCTGCTCAATTGGTAATCCCTTTTAACAAATTACAGTTATTTACTTAATGGAATACGCAGTCCCATATTATGAAATAATTAATTCATCATCAATCGCAAATTTAAATTATTAATGTCATACTATTTTTATATTTTGATGAGAACAATTAAACCTTTATCAATGTAAGTCGCAAATGACTCTATTATTGATGAAATTTAATATTGATGGCCATCCCTGATCCACGGTCATGTGCAACATAGTTATCCTCTAGAAAAATATGATTGTCATAATTGAAAGCTCAGCAGGCTCGCCTGGGAATGACTCGATTGGAGAATTACGATGTTGAAAAAATAAATGCTTGTCTCAAGTAAATGAATATTTGGCTAAAATAATTTTGTTTGCAATTGATCTAGTTTTTACCTTGTAAAATAGGTCTTGAGCTCTGTAAAAAAATTATGGAGAGTAGTACTGTTGATCATAAATTTTTTACAGAGTATGAAATTTTATCGTTGAAATTGGAAATATTAAAGAATCCAGACTGAGAGAGTCGCTAAATTCCATATTATTCCATATTCAAATATTTGTGTTAAGCCAAAAAAAATTGCGCCATGTATTTTATTTATTTTTTTGGAACCGGCTTATGCCCCCCTCCCTAAGGGCTCTCCTATTAGACATGTGACCAGATCTATTAGAGTTTTCTCCACTTTTTAATCATTTTCTGTATAGAATTGCAGTGGAAATAATATTTGCATCGAATTTTAATTGATTTAATCCTTAGATAGTTGAAACGAATCAATTTGTTGCAAAGCCATTGCTTTCCAATTGAAAAAAAAAAACGTAAATGATTGGTATCTTTGTGACTCTTTGCAGTCTCCTTAACGGAATCATGTTTCTGTTTGTAAAGTTTTCATGGAGGGAGAACTGATTTTCTGGAATTGAAATTTCAAGGAATTTCGTCACTGAAAATTCATAATTTGATGAAAAAATCAATGAAAACTATCAACTTTGGTTCAATTATTCAATGAAAATTAATAGGAATCAGGGAAATGCAGATAAATAGATTCTTGAGTTTTTAATTAATTGAAAATTTATTATAATTTGCTATTGAATATTCATGTTTTCATCCAAAACTCTCATGAATTATAAATATTATTCATTGAAATTTGAAATTTAATAATTTTCAACTCCCTCAATTCAATTCAATACCGCTTCTTTGAAAATTATTACCAAATTGTCCAGCAGGGATGGCCATGAATATTAGTTTCTTTAATATTAACAGGATTTTCCAGCTTATATAGATCAAGATTTAAATATACTAATAGAAATTTAAAAATAGTAAAATAATTGGTAACCTAAATTGCTGATAAATTAAATATTAAAAATATGGAACTATAAATTTTCCATTAATTCGACAATATTAATTTCTTGTAAGGGATTTCCGATTATCCAAATAATCCTCAATCTTCCTACCTCGATTACTGATCAATGAATAATTCAAAATTTTGGATATTTAAATTGATAATTACTTCAATAATTGAAATTTAAAAGTTATATTAACTGATTGACTACTTAATAATTCAACGGTAATTGATGGATCTGGCTATCCCTGTTGTCCATGAAGCAGAATTTTCATTCGTTGTTGTTCCCTTTGCTCTCAATAAATAGTTTACATTTGTGCAGATGATGAGAATATTCCTCTTATTTATGGACGAAGAAATGAAACAATTTCTCATTGCGATATCTCGTTTACTCCATCATTTGAAGTCTCCGTTCATCCACGAAATAGTTACTCTTCTAAAGCTGTTCGCGTATCGCATTTAATGATCTCCCCGTTCGAGTTTTTTCATCAGAATCTTTCTTACAAACTTCCGAGAACTGCGTTGTCCCTAATCGGTAATTCAATGTTGTTTTTATTTTGCTTACGCGAAACACCAGAAACAGAAGACGCGGATATCTCGCTCGGCGATCAACAACAGCCGTAGTAGTATAGTAAGTAGTGAACGTTTCATTTCTTTCCACAGTCTCAATCTCCCCTTTAGGGGAGCCACTTTTTCTTCGCCCGTTCATTTTCTTTGGTATCTCTTCTCGGTAAAAAGGGGGAGCTTTTTATGGAGCTTTTTAAACCTGGAATATTCATTAGCGAGTAATTCGATTTTTCAACGTCGATTCAGTGTCGAATAGTTGTCATTACGGAACGAGGGTAATTATTATGTACTAAGAACGCCAACACGGGATTAAAATGTCGCGACCTCCTGTGACGTTAATTATCTTTTAAAGGGAACAAAAATCCACTGGTGAAGTGGTGAGACGAGTCGGGTTAGATGTGAAAACTTTGTTAATTATCGTGATTACCTGGGGAATGAGCAGTTTTGGAATGAAATTGTAGACGATTTTTCTTTTAAATAGGTGCAAATACAAGCATTATTCTCTGCATGGAGAAATTGTATTTTCCCGGGCTGTTGTAATGGGGTTTTTGCTGCTGTGGCGTTGGCGTCTGAGCCGAAGGCGAGGACTGGCCAACCACACGAGCCGAAAACCCCATCAGAACAGCCCGGGACAAGATTATTTTATAGTGACTTTCAAGTTTCCGAGGTTGGGAAGTAGGCAATACCAGTTCCCGGACGAGGAATCGTGGGAGGCAATACAGAAAAATAGTATTTTTCGTCACTGTGGGGTCAGTGTGAGGTTGTTCGTCACTCGATTGGAAATCAAGGAAGAAGTTGCTGGAAATCAAGTGATTTCCATTTCCGGTAGTATTTTCTAATGATTTCTAGAAATTATTGGAATCAGTAGAAATTATAAAGAAACCAGGTGATTTCATAAATAATTAGCAATCATCGATGAGAGTACAACCCGAATTGTTAATTCGAACTCACTCATGCGATCCCGTTTGACCCTCGTGACCTTATGTATATGTCATTTAATTCTTACTATCACATCCATAAGGCCCTTCAAACTGTTTGGTTCCTCGAATCTTACCCATATGCAATTATCAACAGAGGCCCCACGTTGGCCACGAAATCATGATTTTTCGAGTGATTTATTGAAATCAAGAAATCATCAGAAATTTTTATCGAATTTTTACCACTGCAATTTCATGGAATTTTGTCATTGAAAATTCAGAATTTCGTAGAAAAATCAAAGAGAACTGTAAATTTCAGTTCCATTTTCCCTGAAAATGAATCGAAAACCAGAAAATTCCGGTAAATATATTCTTGAATTTTGAAGACAGTGACACTGAATGCAATTTAGAGAGGAAAAAATCATGAAATATTAGGTTTCACTGAAAATTCAATGTGATTCAAATAAATTCAAATAAATTAAGGAATTCACGTCTTTATGCCGCTTAAAATTCTGAAATTTTACTGAATTTACTCTGAAACCTGAAACTGCATGATTTTTCCCTCTAAATCGCATTCAGTGTCACCACCCTGAAAATTAGTAGTCAACTATCCACGATTAACAGTGAAATCAAACCCCTATATAACGGACATTAGAGAAAACTGTATCAAAATTATCAAAAATAGTCAAAATCATACAGAAATTAAATTTTTGTGGATTCCGTCCCACCGAGGCATTGAAGGCAATGAGAGAGTCGACAGAGTGGCTGGTAATGCAACTAATGAGTACCAAAATAAATATCGTATCCATCACACCGACTACAGAAGCTCATTTAAAAGAGAAGAATACCTTCGAACAGGGAATGTGATTACGTCACCAGCGTGTGTGCAGAAAAAAAACCGAAAGGTGTAGGCTACTTCAATATGTATTACAAGAAGTCTTCAAGTCCATGGTATAAAGATTGCAAGCTCTCTAGAGAGAGCATTGTTACTGTCAACCGTATTAGAGCAAATCACTATCACCTTGGAGCCTCCTTGTATAGAATAGGTATCATCAACGATCCCAGTTGTCCATGTGGTGCAGAATCACAAGATTTCGACCATATACTATGGAAGTGCCCGAAGTACCACCAG